AAAGTATCTAACAGTCCTCAGTCCTCCAACAGGTGAAGGACTGAGGAGGGTTAGGGTTAAGGAATTTCTACCCACCTGATTATTTTTCAGTAATTCAAAACAACTTCACAGCTTGGTGGACTAAACCATGCCTAAACTTATTTCCATTTATTCACTTTAAACAGAAACGCTATTTGATATGCCAATTTGACGGCAAAGTTCATTGTGCAGTCGGCGCTCACTGACACCGCCATTGAAAAAAAATATTCCAGTAAACAAAAACTATATTTTAAAAGAATGGCTGACCGATTGATTGAGAAATCGTGCGGTGATTCTTACAGGCTTTGGAGGTGCAGTTATTTTTTTAGGGGGGGGGGGAATGGGAACTGTAAGAATCGGGGTATTCATTTTTTCTTGGAAAGAAACTTGTGCATATTACACAACCTTGCAACCAAAATAAAACCACTAGGAAATCTCAAAGCCAAGGTGAAAATGCACTCGACAGTTTGCAATAGCTGAAATTAGTCTAGAATCTACAACAGTCTCAAGGAGATTTGCATTTAAAGAAGAGAAGAGATTAACTCAAAACCTTGGCATCTGCAGCAAGACCAAGGCACAGACAAATACGACAAGGATTTCACAAATTCTAAATAATGAAAGGTCATCAAGGAGTTTGACCAATGAGGGGGTCTCGGACCCAACACCCCTGGACATCAGCTCCAGGGTATAATTCATTCATCTAGCTTTTAGATGACACTCCTTTGAAGGCTTGCTCGCCAGATGTCTCATTCCCTGAATTACTATTTAGTAAGAACAGATATACTCCCACACACGATGTCGTGCCAAAAACTGCCGATCCAGCTTTTGGGTACAAATTCTACACTCTACGTAAACAGTCCTGTGATTTCAACAAAACTAAATTTCATTCATAAATGACTTTTACAAACTCCACAAAGGAATCTATTGTCAGTACTGCGTCTTCCACACACAACAACCGTAGGGTTACCAGCTAAAGTCCTTAATAAAAAAGAAGTCTCTATGGAGTACAAACTCTACATCATGTCATCTCGACTCCAATTTCATAAACTCACAATAACAGTTTCTTGGTAATTAAATGTAATTAGGTCATTATAAAACAAAAACTAAACTCTTCTCAAAACAAATTTTAAAAGTGTTCATTCTGACCCCAATTTTGATTTACATGAGTTGGTTGACAGGCTAATTCTGTTGGTAGTTCACAGTCCGGTTAAGTGCACGATTGCTCGCTGTCAAAACAGATTGTCGTTTTTTGGAAGCTGCCAAAGTAAGTCAAGGGCCTGCTCCGTCCCTAGAAAACATTGCTTTTAAGACGAGAACATTTTGGAGAATAGCGGCACTTCTATAAAATGATTTCGGGTATGCACTTCCTTGGCAAATTACAGTCAACAGGTTGCATGAAAAAAATAAAAAAGCAACAAATAAATTGATCCCCTTTGGAACATTTTCACAAGCCTTGACGGCGGACTCGTCTAAAACTCAGACTGACAATGGCAGTGCCAAGCTTCTGTGTTTTCCGTGGGACCTTTTCAAAGGCCTCCCACAGATGTTCAACAACGATTTCAGGTTCGACTCAATTCTAATATTAATAAGGAAAGACTCTGTGCGCGCATAACAGTTGTAAACGATTTCATGAAGGAAAATGGATCTTAAATTCTTGAAGAGGTCTCTGTGAGACAAAGAGAAAAAGAGACAGGCAAACGCATTGCTACTTGAAATTAAATATATCTATCCCTAAACAAAGGGAAAAGAACAGTTTCTCAGTTGGCTCCAGATTCATTTCGTCTTTTACTACTTGAATAATTGAAATACAGAGGATTTTCAGTCACATGATTTTTGACGGTCGGCGTTCAATTTACTCAGATGTGCGCGGAAACGCGCACGTCTTTGAAGCCTCTCAAAATTCTTGTGCACATGAAATTACCAATAGAAAGACTCAGATTCGAAGATACACAAGCCTCCACGGACATGGTACGCTTCGTGCAATGACTCTGCCCGTCATGTTATGTCACGTGAAAAACCTCTATTAGTCACATTTTGGGAAGGTTACGACGACTACACTGCTCCACTCACACAATACGTTCTCTCTCACTGGCTAACACACTTTGGAGAAAAACCTTCAAAAACTGATGCTGTGATAAGTTATAAGGTGAGGTGCAGTTAGGTTGACCCTACCTCAGTGGCAGTAACATTCCCCAAAGGTGGGAGACAGGCAGGGGGAGGGGTTGAATGAACAGGTTGGATATGATAGGCTTCGTGCATGACAGAGAGAGGGCGCTGTCTTAGCCAGGAATGGTGTCCTGTTGGGCCAATGCCATGTGCATGCTGTGGTTTGCATGCGTACATCTTGATGCGCGTCAGTAATTGGGGTCTGCGCGATTGTGTTCAAGTGCGTGCCCAACCTCTCCCCATGTCACCAGCGAGGGCGCCCTTCCACACGGAGCCTCGACGAAGTCCCAAACCCCTTACTCTGACTTGATGTGTCTGCTGGCATCGTCCAGCTCGGTCACCTTCTTCTCCTCGTCGGCGTCCTGTTGGCTGTCTCCGTCTTCAGCTTCGTCTTCACTGTCCGGGGGCAGGTTGTCTTCGTCGTAGGGATCGGCCGACCAGATGCTGTAGCAGATGAAGATGATGAGGAAGGAGGGAACGACCAGAAGGCCTGTCGTCAGGATGGGATTGGCTGTCCACAGGGCCTGGAGCAAGAATGCAGATAATAAAATCGGCGAATGAAGAAATTAACATCTTTGCTCTGTAGGGCTGCCAAAGCACCACGGCTCCATTTAAGCAACCTTGAGCTGAGGGGCCCCTTATCTTTTTGTTCTGTAGTCAAGTTCGTTCTCCGAGTTGGCAAGAACTTAACTGTGCCCACAGGCCATGCAGTAAGAGGTAGCATGAGTTGGCAGCTGTATAAAAATCACCTCAACTTGCAGGAACCTAGTCACGGACTTGACAGGAAAATTGAAGTCGGAGAAAAGTGAACCAGAGATTTTGCTCAGTCTTTGAGCAGGAGGTCTGGCCTGATTTCTTTTTGAAGCCGCACAATGTCAGATGTTGCAGATAGCTCTGCCCATTATTTTCAAGATTCCCACCTGCAATGCCAAGCCCTCACTGGTGAGCTTAACACTTCCTGTAAAGTGGATTAAATATCTACAAGAATAAGCCATTTCTGGGTTCGAGTCCCTCCTAAGTGACTTTGTGTTTCTTTATGGAAAGCACTGAAAACAAGTCGCCTGTAAGCATGCTTCAGTGAAGAGTAAATTGAAATACTAAAACCTTTCGTTTCCATTGAGGAATTTTCTGCCTTTTTTGGTACAAAGCAGTAAGCTTCCATTGGCACGCTCTACTCACCACCAAACTGTTAACAACTTCGTAGATAACCCTGTAGATCTTCCTAAACCAACCGTTTCCTCCGTGAGCCTGCATGACAGAGGAAAACAACATTAACATCTGAGACAAAGATAAAGAGTTGAGCGAGAATATGGAAGAAATTACGATTTGCCACGAAAGATAACTGAATAAAGGAACTCTCTGAACAAAGAGAAAACGTCAACAAAAGCACTATTAATTTCCCAACAATTTGTCTTGTTATCTAACACCAAGGTATTGTCACCTTCACCTCAACTTTGGTGTTCATATTCTCGGCAAGATACAGAACTATGAACTTGAACATTTTTCTAGCTTTTTCTAAGTAAATCTTTTTTGGGGGGTTTGTTTTCAGCTTGTTTTGTCCATTGCTTTTTCTAAAAGTAACGGTGAATAAACACTCAGATACACTTTTTTTGTGTTTTTTATATGTAAATATAAAAAAAAAGAAAAAAGTGGCAATGTGTACCTCAATAGCACCAATGGCGACGTCCTCTAGGAACCTGGCAAGCGATTCTTCCGTCACCTCTACGGCATCGTCTTCATAGACGTAGTATAAATAAGTCTTGGGATCAACCACTAGGATGCCTGGGGTCTCCAATCGACTGCGAAGGGAACCAGTGAGGCATTTTGAATACGTAGTTGGTAACAGGCAGCCGTGTTAAAAACCGACTAGTCAGGTCGAAAGGCTATTGTTATGTAAATTCAATACACTGGCACCGTCGAAGAGCACAACAATTGCGTTGCTGGCAGTGGTGGGAACGTATAATCGTGAAATCCTCACGTTCTTAAAGACACCTGAAAGGTACCTATAAAATATGCGCGCATGCGTACAACGTTTGGCAAATGGGAACGCCCTTTTGAAATTGTGCCTGGCATTCAGGCGCAGCGCTTGACAGGAGTCATTCAAATAATTCATCACACGTGTTGTTTGTACAGGTTTTAAATTTGCAGCTCTATGACGGGGGCAACTTGAAACAATTGAAGATTATCCCAGTCGCGTTCTGTCATATCTACGGGTAACAAATTAACTCACCTTAGAGTGATGTCATTGGCGATGTCAGGTGTTTCCATAAAACCAAACTGAAACTTCCTGAAGTTCAGAAAAATCGTTGAAACAGGACCAATGAAATTATCGCGGTTTACTCAAAATGTTTGACGACGGTAACAAACGACAGTCAGTTCATTAGCCCAGTATCCACTTTGCTTAACATTATTTGATGTCAACATGAGGCTTTTGTGCCAAAACACAAAATTGAAGAATTTACACAGCGAACATCATTTTGAGTATGCTCGTCTAAATTTCTGAATAACGTTTACCTGGGTTCTACCCACCAGGAAGTCAAACATTAAAGACACCTTTGACAGAAAAGCAACGCCACACATGGAGCACATTCAAAAAATTAAAAGCTTCCTAACATTACAATCGCTATCATGGTTTTTTGTCAAAACTCAGCCACAAGTACGTTGTCAAGCTAGATATATATATATATCCCACGACATTCACGTTGGCAAAAGGAATTTTGCTCAGACAATATTTTTGGTGGTTAGCAAGATATGACTGCGTTCAAATCACTTGGCTGCGGCTTGAAATTACACGCAACTCAATGGGAATTGGCTGCAGCCACTATCGTAGACTTGTGCATTATTTCTAGCCATAGCCAAATGATTCGGACACAGCCTATCTGTGCTCATTAGCTGTTCAATGAAATCCGCTCTCAAATTCCCCTTAATACGGCACAGAATCCTCTTACTTGTGAAACCTGTCTCTCTGCTCTAGGGCCACTCTACGTATTGTGTCCTTCATGAGGTAGTGGGGATGCGTCTTGAAGTTATCGATGCTGGGGTTGACTAGCGCCAACACCAAGAACTTATCTGGAATCAACCGTAAGAGTACAAAATCAGTCAATGACTGGTGTTGATGCTTTCACACGAGCGATGGATGTTGGAAACTTTCTGATTATTGCGTCGGTGAGTGAGAAGTCGCACTCTTGAGACA